AAACCGCTCAAAAAAAAAAAAAAAACTCACGCCGGGTGCATGTGCATGCATGCACAAGATACTGAAAGAATGGAAGAGAGAACGGAAGAGAAGGGATTGCAGTGTGGCCATCCCCCCGGGGAGCAATTTCTCACTTTCTGTCTCTCTGTCTCTCTCTGTCTGTCTGGCGAGTGCACGCGCCTTGTAACGAAAACCTCTCAAAAAAGAAAAAAAAAGAAGGTGATTAGATGATTAGATCTTGAGGGTCTACCTACTTGGATAGATGAGTGGGTTATCAGGAAAGGGGCCTTGCTATAAAAGCGGCCCTATCTTGTTTTGTCTCTCCAGTGCCTTCTCACTATGTGACACCTTCCATCATGGCCCTATTCAAAAGTGGGCATCATGCCCTTGGACTTCCCAGATGCAAGTACTGTGAAAAAGAAATTTCTTTATAAATTTCCAAATCTGTGTGGCCAGCAGATGGCATAGTGGGTATGTTGCCGGTCTCTCACATAACTGACTGCAGTTGGAGTCCTGGCCCCAGTAGCCTGAAAATCACGCCGGGCTGTGTGTGTGTGTGCCCAAGAAACCAGGAGAATTGAAGAGAAGGGAGTGTGGCATGGCCGTCCCTCCTGGGGGGTGATTTCTCGCTTTCCCTCTCACTGTCACTATCTGTCTGGTGAGCACATGCACCCTATGGCAAAAACCCCTAAAATTTTTTTTCCCAAATCTGTGGCATTCTGTTACAGTAGCACAAACTGAATTAAGATAATAGTGTTTCTCAGGCCAGCGGGTGCCGTGGAGGTTAAGGCACTGGATCCCACATGGCCAACTCTGTGGTTTGAGTCCTGGAGCCGGCAGCTTGAAAATCACACTGGGCATGTGTGTGCCTGCTTAAAATCCCGAGAGGAGAATGGAGGAGAAGGGGCTGCATGTGGCCATCCCCCCAGAGGGTGATTTTACTTTCCTTCTCTCTCTTTCTCTCCCTAGCAAGTGCACATGCCCTATAGCAAAACTAAAAAATAATAATAGAAAAAAGATAATAGTGCCTTTCAAATTTAATGAGCATATCATCCCCTCGGGGATTTTGCTAAAATGGACCCAGTAGGCCTGGGACGAGACCTGAGATTGCGCAGTTCTAAAGGGGCAGACGTGCTGGTCCTAAGGGTCCTCAGACGCCACTTCAGGGCTTCTGTGTAGTGTACTATTACCCCGTATATTAGGGAATCTTCAGATAAGCTAGTTCTGGGGGTAGTTACGTCACTGGTTCAAAGATTTTGTCACATCAGATCTTTTCTGTGACTTTTTTTTTTTAAAGAATTATTTATGTATTTAATTCCATTTGCTATTATTATTTTTTAACTTGACCAGAGAGAGAAAGGGAAAGGGAGAAAGCAAGCTGCCAGGTCAGGGACTCAAACTGCAGTCAGCCATGTGGGAATCCAGCACCCTAACCACCACGCCACCTGCCAGCCCCTTCTGTGACATTTTTGGCCTTCCTTACCTTCATGGTTGAAATTCCAAGCATCTTGCTCCCACGTGACACTATCTGGCTGCAGAATGGGAATGACTCTGTTATTAATCCCTTTGAAGAATAAGACAAACTCTTCTGAAAGTTCCTAGCTGACTTCCCAGCACTTCTCATTGGCAGAATTGTGTCAGGTGTTCGAACCTAAGCCAATCCCTTGCCAAGGCCATTTTGAGAAAGTGAAGGAAATCAGAAAGGAGGAAATGGGGGTTGGGTACACAGTCGAGTCCCCCACATCTACAGTCTCTTCTCCCTTTCTTCCTTACAGAGCCAAGACTACATTAGAGAAGCACCCTTCCCCGCTCTGGCCAGAGATGGCAGGTTTATTCTGTGGAAGACCAGAACAGAAGAGCCTTCAGATAGCACCACCAGGTGACAGTGGAGGGAGAGGTGGGCTGCCATGTTGGAATCCAGGGGAATCAGGATAAATGAGTGGCAAGAAGCTCAGTTCTTTCCATCACTCAGCCCCAAGAAAGCTGACAGCCACTAGTCAACTTTCCAAGCAACATCCTGGCAACTTCTCTGGAGAAGACCCTTGAGAAAGTCCTGCACATACTGATAGTGAGGTCTTTGGGAAAATCTTGCACATATTGGAAAGCCAGCTCGCTGCCTGATCAGCCAGAGTGAAACACACGAGTTAAATCTGCCTTAGCATTCACGTCCTTTAACCAGCTTCTAGTGCCTTACTCCAAATATGAGTACCCACCCATGAACCCCAGAAATTTAGTGAAAGGTCCCTGAATGAAAGGCAGAGATAAAATAAAAGAAAGAAAGGAAGGAAAGAAGTGGGGGAAAAAAGCAAGAACAAGAACCGACTAGAGAGACCAGCAGTTAGCATAATGGCTATGTTGCTGGCCTCTGATTTGGTCCACCATGGTTCGAGTCCTGAACCTGGTGGCTTAAACTCACGCCGGGCACGTGTGCGTGCATGCCCAAGATCCTGAGAGGAGAATGGAGGAGAAGGGATTGTGGTGTGGCCATCCCCCCTAGGGAGTGATTTTTTGCTTTCTGTCTCTCTGTCTCTCTCTGTCTTTCTGGTGAGCACACGCACCCTATAGTAAAAAACCTTAAAAAAAAAAAAAAAAAAAAAAAAAAAACCCCAAAAAAAAAAAAAAAAAGGCGACAACAAAAAAAAAAAAAAAAAAAAAAAAACGA